TTTTTTTCTTAAGATTTTATTTATTTATCTTTAGAGGGGAAGGGAAGGAGAGAGGGAGAGAAACATCAACGTATGGTTGCCTCTCCTGTGTCCCCCACTGGGAACTGGCCTGCAACCCAGGTATGTACCTTGACTGGGAATCGAACTGCGGTTGTTCGGTTTGCAGAGCCAAGCTCAATCCACTGAGCTACACCAGCCAGGGCAGAAACAAAGTTGTTTCAAATTACACTTAAAGTCATTTCTCCTCTCCAACTGCAGGTGTGAAACAGCTCCAGAGAGCGCTCCATGGAGTCCTAAAGTGCGGCTGGCATCCCGATCACATGTGCAATTGATCACACACTGGGCTTAAGCCAAATTCAACAAGACCTTCCTGGGAAGTACTGTGACTGAACTTATGTTCATACGAAATTTACAATAAAAATAAAAAATAAAATTACCAGAATTTTTCATTCATCACAACATTTTAAACAGTGTAATATCCACTACTTACTGGCAACTCAAGAATCAGATATTTACAACACTTGCACTTACCCCCTGGGCCACTGATCTGCAGCTGGGCTCATAATAAACTGAGTCCTTACAGAAAATACTGCTTCATAGTCCTTATTTACTCACGTCTGATATATAGCACAACAAAGAATTTTCTACCAGAAAGATTTGTGTCTCCAGTTGACTCAATAAGTATATTTTAAATACAGGTTTTAGCTAAGGTAGTTGTTGAAGGAAATTCCACAACAAACAAGAAAACCTGCTGGCCATCTCTCCACATCTGACCCCGCCCACTTAGCTAATAGGGCCTTAGAATGAAAACCAAGGATGCTCCTTTTGTCACTGTTTTCTGAGCCAAACAGCATTTTACTCTTCTATAAATAGATGCCACCTCGTGTCAAAAATCTGTAAGTACAGTCCACAGTTCCTCAGGAGTTCCGAGGTAAGTCAAACAAAGAATAATCAATTCTTCCTGCACGAAGACAAAGGCAAGAAAAACTCCAACAGGCAATTCTTGGGGTGGGTCTTAAAGGCCTAGGCTGAGTTTGCCAGGTAGTTCAGGATGTGCTCTGGGTAGAGTCAAAGAGCCTGGGTCCCACCCTGGCTCTTACTCATCACTGTCTAGCAGTGTGACCACGGACCTAGTCACTTAACCTTGCTAATGGCCTCAGTAAAATGAAGAGTCTACCTCCTCGGTTTACCAAAAGGATTAAATGAGCAGAAACTGCAAATAAAGGTATCCAACTGTCTCTTTCCGAATCAATCACTACCGCAGAAACGAAGAGGGCAGGCGTGTTAGCCCATTATTTACAAAGCCTTAATCAAGTATAAATGTTCCCTCTACCCCTCATCCTACCAAACGCCCACAAGAAAAAAAAATTACCTCACCTCCTGCATTAAAAGTTTCAAAAGAAGAAAAAAGGGCCAGAGATGTGAATTTATGCCACGGAGCTGAGACCAGCTTTACTTTTCTACTGCTCCTAAACAGAAGGAATGGGACCTCTGGCAACACTGTGGAATTAAAGATCTCACCAAACTACTCCTCACAGTCAGCATTCAGAGGGATTATGGATTTGTTAGAGTGGGATTTAGCTTGTTGTGCATCAGGTGAACTGTAACCCCATTTAAAAAAACACCAATAAGTCATAGCTCCTCCCTTTGTTTATTTAGTGCTTCCTACAGTCACTTTATCACTTAATTCTCACTCCCGGTGGAGTTGCTGTTATCAGATGAAAGGTCAGAGAAGTTGCTCACTGTACACTAGACAGGATCCTCCTGGTGGAAAGTGAGCAGAGACCAGTCAGAAGGTTCAATGCAGCAGGAGCAGTGAGTAGGGAGAGAGCAGCTCTGGTGTTTCAAACACAAGCTTGACAAGACTTGGTAACAAATCTGATTTGGATAGTGAGGCACAGAAAGGAATCCCAACTGAATCAGAAATCTCTAGTTGGGGTGACTGCGAGGCTGCCATTAACTGAGCTAGGAACCACAGAGGAACCTGTTTGTAGGAAAGGTGAGAAAGTTTGGATTTGGGAAATTTGAGGAGGGGAGCACAACCCAGGTGAAGCTGGCATGTGTTACAACTCAGGAGAGAAATGGGACTGTGAAGAGAGTAACATTAACAAGGACTTTGCAGTTTACCAAGCTTTTCAACATTATTAATTAAAAGAATCACAGTATTTCAGCCCTGGCTGGTGTGGCTCAGTGCATTGAGCACAGGCCTGTGAACCAAAGGGTGGCTGGTTCAATTCCCGGTCAGGGCACATGCCCGGGTTGCCAGCCAGGTCCCCAGTAGCGGGTGTGCGAGAGGCAACCACACACTGATGTTTCTCTCCCTCTCTCCATCCCTTCCCCTCTCTCTAAATATAAATAAATAAAATACACCTAAAAAAAAAAAAGAATCGCAGTATTTCACATCAGAAGGTCTTGGAGTAAAAGAAACAGCCTCGGGAATATATAATTACCTACCTAAAGTAATTCACACCTTTTGACAAGATGATGTGCTACCAATCCATGAAGCCAAAAAAATTTTGGAGGCCCTGGCCAGGTAGCTGAGCTGATTAGAGCATCATCCTGATACAACAAGGCTGCACATTTGACTCCGTCAGGGCATGTACAAAAAGCAACCAAGGAACACGTACATAAGGCGAACAAACAAATAGATTTTTCTCCCCCTTCCCCCCTCTCTCTATAAAACCAATATAAAAATTTTTTTGAGCTTTATCATGGGTAGTTGAGTGGGAAAAAAAAAAGGGGAGGAAAGGAAATGAGCTGTGGAGAGACAGGCCTTGCTGAGCAGCAGCCCCACGTACAGGGCCAGAGGCCAGGTGCTCAGTGCGGAGCACAGTGCCCACCACACGTTTAGTTAAAAGGCTGCTCCAGGTGCGCATGAGGGACTGGCTGCAGCAGGGCTGAGTGGGCAGTCCTGGCCACCAGAGACACCTTACAGCACTAGTCTTCTGGGCGTGTCGCACTACTGCGCTGACTACGAGGCAAGGACTGTGCTGCCGACCTTCCATGTACCACATCACTTTCCCCATCACAGTCCTTAACGTGTGCAGTACATTAAGTGTATTCATGCACGTGTAATAAAAGTATTGCATTATATGTTAACATGTCAGATACTACTGTTATCATCCCCACTTTACAAATGGCAGCAAGCCTTACACCATATGAGAGAGCAATACAACCCTGACTCAAAGTTTTAAACATACAGCAGGTCCTCAAATAACGTCCTTTTGGTATAATTGATGTGATGCCGTGAGAGCTTCATTCTTTTTTTTTTCATTCTTTTTTTTTTTAGATTTTATTTTTAAAGAGAAGGGAAGGGAGGAAGAAAGTGAGGGAGAGAAACATTGATGTGCAAGAGAAACATCAATGTGTGGTTGCCTCTCACATACTCCCAGCTGAGGACCTGGCCCACAACCCACACGTGCATCCTGACCAAGAATCGAACTGGCGACCTTTCAGTCTGTGGGACAATGTTCAACCCACTGAGCAACACCAGCCAGGGCAGAAACTTAACTTTTTTTCTATCAATTAGCCTGTGGTAAAACTGGTTTCACTGTAAGTTATTTTGCTCTAAGTCACAGAACCTATCGATGATATTTAGAAGTGTACTTTACCACATATTTAAAGAGTAAGACCCTAGAACAACACAGACATAGTTCCTGATTTCATGGAGCTCAACGTATAGTGTGGGGAGAGAGACAAGCAATCTAATAAGTTTGAAACTATAAATTCTGGTTAGAGCTATAAAGGAAACAAATAGGATGTTAGGAGACAGAATAATGTGGAAACAGACTTTACATAGGATGACAGGGAAAATAAGTCAAAAGCATAAACACAGAAACACCACCTTTTGGGAGGCTCAACACCTTCCAGGTATCTATTCATATCCAATGAACAAACAGTTTCTGAGGCAACTGGCTTTGTCTACATCCTCCTGGACCCAGAATAAGGGCTGTTTTGTTTTTTGCCTTTTTTTTTTTAAGATTTTATTTATTTATTTTTAGAGTGAAGGGAAGGGACAGAGAAGAGAAACATCAGTATGTGGTTGCCTCTCATGTGCCCCCTACTGGACACCTGGGCCACAACCCAGGCATGTGCCCTGACTGGGAACTGAACTGGGGACCTTTTGGTTCATGGGCTGGCACTCAACCCACTGAGCCACATCAGCCAGGGCATGAAGACTATTTTTGCTCCTTTTTCTAAGGAAAAGGAAAAAGGTTTTTATTTGGCCTCTTTAGCCCCAGACTCCACTGGCTCACTGGCTGAGGGATCAGGCCCCCCCTTTTCTCCTCAGTCAGGGAGCTCCACCTTTCTAAGAGTAGGTTGGTTTTCTTGCTAAAAATATATATCCCTCCACATCATGCCACATAAGCATTTCCTTGAAAATGAAAATACTCCTCAGGGATCATTAAACTTCATCAGGCACTTCAATCAATCCTGTTATACAAATGAAACAGACAAAATGAATCATTCTGCAGATCAGAATCCACTCAATCCAACATTCACCAAGAACCTACTGGGAACCATCGGGCACTGTTCATGGTGCTGGAATACTGGCTGTGTCCAGGGACAGTAGAGGGCGCCAGAGAGCCTCAGTTTTCAGGAAAACCAGTCCACAGATTAGGACGCAGAAGGACCCTTCTATGAAGGAATCTTTTGCCTAAGACCTGAGAGGCAATCCTAGTGCCATTAGAGACCTGGTGACCAACTGCTGCAACCAGAGGCCCAACTGGAACACAGGCATTTGTTTAACCCTCACACACAGGACAGAGGGTTTGCCAGCATGGCAGCGCTGTGATGTGGGTGAGTCAGGGATTATGACAGCTAAAGCTCAGAAATGAACATGCTTTCCTAAAGTCAAATTGCTATTAAATGGTAAGGCTGGGTCTAAAACTCTGGTGTTTAAGCTTCAGTCCAGAGATTTACTCCAGTGTGTGAGGACATGTGCACCAGCCGGAAATGCCAAGGCTTATCACCAAGAAATGCTTCCCAGGTCTACTTACCTCTGCCTTTAGCGTACTGTTGTAACACAGAAAATAAGACATCTTGCAGAGACGCAACCGACCAGTAGGAGACATACAGACCTGAAAAATCAAGCTTTTGGAACCATGGATACACCCAAGTTTGTCAATTCTAAAACCCAACCGACTGTAACCTATACCATCAATTTAATTTAACAAAAAACTACATGGAAGTTACAGATGAACTATGTACACAATTAGATGTCCAAATATGATTAAAATAGCCCTTACAGGGTGTCGAACCTTTGGGCATCTCTGGGCCACATGGAAGAAAAACAGTTGTCTTGGGCCATATATTAGCTATATTATGAAATGTAATCACACAAAAAAAACCCTCATAATGTTTTCAGTAAATTTATGATTTTGTGATGGGCCACATTCATAGCCATCCTAAGCTGCATGTGGGCCACAGGTTGGACACCCCTGCGAGAAAACAGAGTGGCAATTAAATGTAAAAGATAAATTATAGCCCTGGCTGCTGTGGCTCAGTGGACTGAGCACTGGCCTGAGAACCAAAGGGTCACTGGGTGGACCCTGACAGGGCAGGTGCCTGGGTTGCAGGCCAGGTCCCCAACTGGGGGTGTGCAAGAGGCAACAGACCTATATTTCCCATTCTTTCTCACTCCCTTCCATACTCTCTAAAAATAAATAAAATATATTTTTAAAAAAGATAAACTATAATACAGGGTTGGAAATGACTGCAGAGACTAATATTCAATTATTTTACAGACAAAGGAACAGGGGCTTGGCCCTATCAATGTCTTCCGGAAATAATGACAGAGCACACGGGAACACAGGTAGAGTGTTCCTCCAGCTCCTTCAACCAGCCCAGAATTACATGGAGACACAGCAGTCATGATAATGTCCAACCCTGGAAGACTAGGTGGTGGTTAAGCTTTCCTCACACAGACGCCAGCCAGCCCCAAACCTGGCTTGTAGACGCAGGGGCCAAAGGCAGTGAGGGAGCAAACTGGTCCACAGTCCTAGGAGCCCTTCAGCATGATGAAAGGAAATTAGGATGCAAAATGTAATTTAGAGCATCAATAATTATGGAAATCAGTGACTTTTTTCCCTTTTGTGCAAATGGTCTCTGGTCCCATCACCAACTATGTAAAGATAACACACCTACTCTAACGCAATACCTCTGGGGAACACGGGGGTCAAAAGCTAATGTTAGACATTGATGTGAATTACAAAAGTAAGGTGATGATTCTTTCCTGTATGGATGGGTTCTCTCTATAGCACACCTTTGAAACAGTAAAATCCTGTTGTGCATTTAAAATAAGATGTGCATGACTAAAATTTGGGAACGTGTCTCCTGAACAAATCCTTGGAGAAGGATTTTGGAGAGTGGAGAGTAAAGCTCATAAAATAATGAAAGTATGAAATAATGAAGTCTACTTGATTTATCTGAAAAGATCTGCTCTCATAAGCCGTGGGCAGGGCAGGGCATTCCTGGGGACAGGGAGCTGTTCAGATGCTACTTATACAAACAAATGTCTTTGCAACACAACCAGGCCACATACTTGTGTCCTGTAACAAACTGATACTCATATACGGAAAAGTCAAATTCAATGACAGGGGAAAATTTACAAACCAACATCCCCCACCCACAAAACTAGGCTCAAAGGTGCAAACAGCCTGCTACCACTTCCTTCACAGGCGCATTCGGATGCGCTCCCCAACCTGCCCACCTCCCGCAGCACAGCCCACAGACACTTGGTTCCAGAGCGGAGAGTGAAAGACAGACACAAACACAGCTCAGTGTGCCCCAGGACACAGGTGAGGACACAGGCACAAGAGCACTTGGAAATGGCTGTGAAAGGGAGTTCAATTTAAAAGTTTATGGGCAACAAAAACAGCCCTACTATACTCTTCACAAAGAGTAAATATCCATAGTATTCATTTCACTCTCTAAGTTTTGCTACTGACAACGCTAATAACACTAGAATGGACATTTTGAAAAACTAAATACAAACTATTAAGTTTGATAACTTGGAGATTAATAAATTTAACACTTTCTTCTCCTGTGCCTGCCCCCGAGCTGAGATAAACAATAAAAGGCTCACAAGAGAGCTGAGAGGCTGGACAAGTAAACAGTCAAATGTATAGCAATTAACCGGTGCTCGGACAGGGAGGGCCGGCTGGCCCACACCTTTGCACGCAGAGAGGAGTCCCCCGGAGGGCGACACGGTCACAGCTGGGCCTTCCTAGGGAAGGAGCGGGAGGGGTCAGGGGTGCGCGCAGGCGGTGACCCAGTGGCCAGAGGCAAGGAACACGGGCGGGGCTGGTGCTTGGGGAAGGGAGAGCAGAAGGTCCAAGGGCTAGAGATTTTTAAAAGCTGAAAATTTAAAAACTGAAAAATGGGCCTGAGTTCCCACACACGCGGGGATTAGAAGCCCTCCTGGACTTTTATCCTGGAGCACGGATAAGCAGCCCCAACCCTGACAGGGCCACCCACACCTAGAGTTCAAGTTGCTAAACCTTGGCTGCAAAGTAACTTTGTATCTACTGCGGATACAAGTAACTCTTGACGTTCTCGTGCCCACGTGTTCAATTACCCGTGGTTATTGCAGGCAAACATGGTTCCCTCTCCCTCTCCAAAATGTGTATGCTTTTACCACTCATCTTCCAAAGCTACAGGCGTGTTGTCAGTATTAAACACCAAGGGGAAAACTTTGAGCGGGCACCTGTCCCCTCTGACGCCCCTGCACAGCAGTCTGCCGAGCCACACAGCCGCGCTTCCCTGCACTTGCACCAGGGCAGCTCAAGTCTAAGGAGGCCCCGGTGAAAAATCACGCCCACGACCAACCCGTTCATCGGCCCACGAGTCTAAGTCCACCCCACCCATACACACAGGGAGTCTCATTTGGCGAGTTCTTAAAAATTAACTCCAAGAACGCATTTTCACCCCCGCGGTCCCCACTCAGTGGGTGGGAAACGAGAGCTCGAGAACCAGGTCAAACGCCCGAGGAGAGCGAGCGAGCCCGTCCGGTCCGAGGCGCCTCTGTGCCATTCCAACAAGTTGGGTCGCATTGTCATCTCGGCAGCGCGTCTCCCCCTCTCACAGGTGGGAGTGACGCGGGCACACATCATCTCGGATCTGTGCAAGGACAATCCACCGAAGGAGCCAGGCGTTTCCTCGGGACCCAGGCGCCCGACGCGCAGAGGGAGCCGGAGCCGCTGTCAACCGAGGGGCGGAGAGGGGTGGGGAACCGACCCGCGAGGAGAGCCGAGAGGAGGCTCGAGCCCAAACAAAAACAACCCCGAGTCGAGCGCGGCCGAGGGAGCAGATTGGGCGAGACCGTTCACGGCTGCCCATTGGAGAAGAGGGAAAACAGAGTCCCCCAATCGCGAGCGGCGGGGCTGCTCCCCTCGTGCGGCCGCGGCCCGGCCCCGCGCCGCCCGGTGGCCGCTACCGCTCCCTTCCGGCGGCGGCGCCTACTGCAGGCCCCGCGCCCCGGCCGCCCCCGCCGCCGCCGCCGCCGCGCCCCCTGCCCCCGCCCGGCCCGGCGCCCCCGCGCCCGCCCCCAGCCCTCCGCCGCCCCCCGCACCGGCGCCCACCACCCCGCTCACCGCCGGGCACCGCCTGCTCCTCAGGGCGCGTCGAGGCCCCTTGCCCGGCCAATGCGCTGGGGGGGTCCGCGCTGCCGGACAACACTGTCCGTCCCACGAATAAAATTAATCACCAAAAAATAATTCCAGAGAAAAATGGAGAGTAAAATCCAAGATGGCGGCACATGCCGCAGCACCGCCCGCTCCATCCGCTGTCGGGAAATGAGTCCCAGCCGCGGCCGGAGCCCCCCGCCTCCATTGCGCCGCGCCCCCGCGCCCCCGCGTCCCCCGCGCCCCGGGCCTCACCTCGTCTCACGCGCGGCCGCGGGGTCCCAGAGGCAGCCGCCAGCTTCGAGGCTTGCGTTCTGGGTCCTGGCGCCGCGCTGCCGCCTCCTGTGCCCGGGCGCCCTCACCTCATAGCCCTAGAGCCTAGTCGCCGGCACCGCAACCGCGTCGCCGCCCCCGGTGAGCCACCCGGACGCCGCCCGGGAACGGTGGAAAGACACGAAAAGGAGTGCCCTCGGCCGGGCGGAGGGACACCACGCCGGCTCGCGTGGCCTAGTCACCTCTGTTGCTTTTACGGGACTCTGCAGGGGGGAGGCGGAGAAACCCGAGAAAGAAATGAGTCCGCCGCCGGGTGCTCCTGCGGCGGAGGAACAAACAGCGAATTTTGAGGGAGCGAGCCGAGTCTTCACGGCACCTCTCTCGCTGCGGACGGATCCGCGCTGAGCAGTCGGCACGGATCCCTCCGCCCCTCGCTGCCCTTTAAATTGCGGCTGGAGGCGGTGTCGCCGCACGCCCCTTGGGCGCCTCCTTGGCGTGGGGTATTCGTGCGTGGCCACCACTCTAGACCTTCCGTGCAGCTGCACCCACCAGGGTCGGCTACCGAACTGGACTCGGGGCAGGCCTGGGGGACAGCAGGCTCCTCAGCATCTGCGCTTCCCGGTTGCACCGAGGGGGGGCGGCACCACAGAGGCGAGCTTCTTTGTTGTGGAAATGGGTGTCGTTAGAAGCAGACACACCTTAAAGCCCATCTGGGCACCCTCAGCATTCCACATCGTGCCATGGGAGGGAGAGAGCGTGCATTCGTCCGGCCGCAGGCTTCCTGGTGTCGACCGGCCATTTCTTAGGCGCCTACTGTGTGCCGAACCTTCCTTGAAAGGGTGGTATTGCCACTTCCGCCCTAGTTGGGCAGTGCCAACGCCCAACATGCAGCCCCCTCGACGTGCCTAAACAGGTCGGGGAGAGGCCCAGTGGCTTACACGCTCCCAGGGCTGCTCTGCAGCCATCGTGCGAAGCCCTGCCCTCGGGATCCTGTAGTCCGGCGACAATGACTGCAAAGTAACGACGAGAGTAACACGGACACGGCCCGGCACTGGTTGAATGCCAGACACGGGTCTCAGGCTTTGGTGCCTTATCCCGTTTACTCCTTGAAACAATCCCCAGGAGGTGGAAGGAAGCGTTGTGGTTCCTGGTTTACACGCGGGGAAACTGAGGCGCAGAGAGGTTGACTAGCTCTCAGAGAGCCCTTATCCAGTCGTGGTGAAAAATGCAGGCAGGCATCGAGAACTGGGGGTGGCCGCCCGCTGGCAGACCAGCACCTGTTCCCTGGGAAGCAGAGACCTAAGTGGGGACTGGAGTACGTTAGGAAGCGGCGGTGGTTACGGGGTGCAGGAGGGGCCCCTGCAGAGGGAAGGGGGGCAGGCTGGCAGATTCCAAGAGCCCCAGGCGTGCCTTGGTCTCCCCTATGTCCCAAGGTGGTGGCACAGAGCAGACCTCACCGTGGGCTGGTCAGTGGAGAGTGTAGGCGACCATGAGAACCGCGAGCCAGCTACCACCAACACAGGTGCTCAACTCAGTCCCCCTCCTCTGTGACCTTGAGTGGTAGACACAATGCTTGTGACCCTTCCCTAGATGGGAAACTGAGGCGCAGGGATTCACCGCAGGAGTGTGTCTAACAGATGCAGAAGCTGGTCTTGATCTTCAAAACCAGAGCTCCTCCCAGCGCCCTTACCTGCCTCCTCTCCAGGCTCCCTCCCTCTGCTCCCAGGCTGACTTGGCCGGGTGGGGGGGTGGGCACTGGGGGGACAGAGCCCCACCTCCCTCAGGTAAGGCACACCTGGGTCATCACGGGGTGCTTCCTGCGCTTTCACTCCACTGAGCCTCAGGTTCACCTGTGACATCAGAATTTGCCTGGTCACTTTCCTCTGCAGACGCGCCTAACAAATGATTACTGTGGTTTTACTGATTTCTGATGTATCACTAAATTTTCTTTCCAATGTTTTCATAGTGCCTGGCTCCAAATACTCCTATTGCATCTCACTGAGACCGCCTCTGCCACCCCCGCGGGATGCCCCCCGGGAGGCCTGCACACCTCCCTGCCGTAGGCAGCCTCGGCAGCCCTGTGTGGACCCTCCGGGGCCCCGGGGCCCAGGCCCCGCATCCCACCGTGCCCGGGCAGCTCTTCACAGCCTCGAACACCAGTTTTCTCCACACTCCAAGCTTTCCAGAACGGGGCGCTCGCCACGTGCCCCTGGGGCTGGCACCCACACCCCAACCCCGTAAAGCCCCAGACTCCCACGATGCTGGCACCTCCATTTAGTCACTGCCCAGCACCAGGCCAAGCGTGCCGGGCAGTGACTTGCAAAGGAGCAGGCCGGCCCACAGCCTGGCAGGGGCAGAGTGAGCAAACCCCGGGGCAGAGCTTCCTTCGAGTCTCCCTGGCTGCGGTCTGTCCCTCCCCCAAGGCCCCCTGCATTGCCAGCTGCCCTTCCAGCCTCGGCTGAGAGGCCCAGGGCAGGCAGAGATGAGTTGGGGCTTGAACTTGATGGAGCCATGTTGAAGGCACTTGGTGCCTTTGGGGGTCCCCACCCAGGGAGGCCAGGGCTGAGCTGGTCAGAGGGCACAGGCAGGAGTGGCCCTCTTGGAGGGGGGGGGGCGGACTACAAATTGGACTTTTCCACACTGAGTGTGGCCAGCTGGAGGCCTCTTCCTGCCATCTGGCAGAGGAAGGGGGATGGGGGACAGGAAGTACTGTGGCCGGGCACCTGCCCAGCCCCCACACGACATTTACACCGTGAAGCCTCTGGATGCCCCAAAGTGGAAATGCTAAGCCGCAGGGGCCGTGGACAGACGGAAAGATATTGGCAACTCTAAAGAAAGACCTAGTCAGCGGAAGGGCCGGGCCAGCCCCGGAAGCATCAGGAGTGCCAGCCCAGCCCGGAGCTGACCTGGAAGCTGCGCCCTTGCAGGGCACTGGCTGAGGCCACGGAGCCCCGTCCAGTCCCCCGCAGGGCCCAGGGATACTCTGGAGACCCAGTCTGGTCTTGCCAACCGTGCGTCACTATCTAGCTTCCCGTCTGCAAGTGCCAGGTTCACCCCTCGACCGGCTGGCACGGTGATTTGCTTGCTGGAATCCTGGGCCCACAGGAAGGGCCT